AACTGTTGGTTTCCTCATCAAGATTTTTCAGTTTCTCGAGCAACTTGTTAATCAGGCTGTCCTTGTGTCCCTTGAAGCCTGCGTCGCTCATTTCCTCCAGCGTCTGGGTGTATTTGCTCAGGAACTCCTCAATCCTGATCTCCAAGTACTGCGCCGTCTTCTCGCTCTGGATGAGGATCCGGAAGCCTAGTGTCGTTGCGCTGTTTTTCATGTCAATAAACACTGCGTAGCCCAACTGCTCCTTGGTCCGGAGTTGGTTAAACACTGGTTCATAAAGGATCTGTTCCAGCAGGACAACCTTGGCCCGAGCCATACGCTCATCCTTCTGCCCGATGTACAGCCAGTACTCGATGCAGTGGTTCAAATTGGCAGGATCTGAAAGCATCTTCCTATAGACATAGTTCGAGCCAGGTGGGAACAGCAAGGATCGCGAGATAGGCCACTGCAAACTTGGTAGCGCACGGGTCTGAACCTTGTTCTCCAGCATACTTGTGAGCTTCAGTGCGTCCTCCTTGTACAAGTTTCCATGCACTAGAACTTCCATGTGCATCTGCGACAGCACTTCCTTTTGGAAAGTCCTTGTCGCCTCGCAGGTGATCGTGTCCAGCTCATCATTGTAGTGCTCAACCAGGAAGTCGTGCTCGGTGTTCAGCCACGTGGTGTACTCCTCAACCTGGTCATAAGGATGCCCGAAACCCCAGTTCTGGTACGATCTGCTCAGGCACTCCTTGATTCTTTCGAAATGATCTTCCTGAATATCTAGACCTCGAATAGTCTCGAGCACCCGCTCCAGCAGGACTGAAATCTTGTTGTTGTAGCCGCCGACCTTAATAACAAGCCCTCGTTTATCCAGAGATACGGAATACTGCAGGCCCGCCAGACTCGCATCGTAGGAATATTCTTCCAGCGCGTCCTTGACGAGATTTGTGAAGAGCTGAGCCTTGACATAGTTTTCCGCCGATGCAAAGATGATGGGGTTTCTACAACTGACGAGGAGGTTCGCCTTGGGAACCCAGAATCTGTCATCCTTCTTATACCATGTCCGAGCGTGACCGTCGTTCCTGATCATGGTGGGTGCCACAGCGGGCTCTTTGACCTCCTTCCTTTCGACTTCGAAATTGTTCGGTATGAACTGATTCTTGTTGGGCAAATGCAGCGCCGAGACGCGCTCCGCGGGGCTGCAGGAAGCGACCTGCTTGAGTTCCTCCATGAAGTCGCTCGAAATCTTCTCGCACTTGTACTCAGTCCCATACCACTCCTCCTTCTTGTCACACTGCTGGAGAGTGGGACGAGAAATGATAAACATCCTCAGGTTTTCAGGTCGTAGGTAGTCTATTCCTTGCCGGATAAGCTCGGGCTCGAACTTTCTCAGCCGAATTAAGCCGCTCAGAAGCCATTCTCGGGGCAGAGGACGTTGCATGACGGAGCTGAGATTCTTCGTAAAGTTCATCACGGGTGTCTTTTCCTCGAACCTGAAGTTCACATCGGCCATGCTTCTCAGCTCGTCGAATACCCATTCTTGCGGCGGCGCCTCTCGCAGAAGAGCAAGGTACTGAAAAAGGATCTTTACGATCTCCTCGTGATTCCGCAGGCCGTCTTCCGTCAGCTCTACTTCGAGCTTGATAACAGCGGGCGAACCGGGACACACTGGTTGGAATATAGCGCAAAGGCTATTGGCCCAGCCTTTTGATTTGATATGCGACATGATACTCCCGGGGCCTTCGTGTCCAATGAGATGGGTTATATACAAGCTCGGACGTGATTCAAAAAGCTCCTCTTCGTCCATGAATGGAAAATAAACGAACAGAGACTTCGAATTCTTGACTGGCTTTGCGAAAATCCTCAATTGTAAGTATTCGGGCCCTAATGGTATAGTATTCCAGCGGTTGGGCTTGAGTTTCTTGTCCTGGACATCCGTGAAGTACTCCGTCACCCACGACCGGAGGACGTCCAGTGGCTCCCGGCCCAGAACAACGAGTTTCATTCGATTAGCAGAGTAATGCATCTCATAAAACCTAATAAACTCCTGCCTGACGTTGACACCCCGTGCCTCGGGGGCGCTCTTGAGGACCTTCAGGTTGCCTGTGGCAGAATGAAAGTAAGGATGATCAGGATTCGACAGGGATTGGGAGAGTTTCTCAAGGCGGTCCTCATCGTGCTGCAGGTTCCTCTTGTCCTCAGAGTCCACTGCCATGAGTTCCCGGTCTATAGTGGATTCGAGGAATATCGGCTGGATGAAGAACTGAGCAAGATGATCAAGAGCTCCTTTCAATGGGGAAGGGTTGTTCGCCGAAGGCTCACTGCCGTCACTTGGCAGACCAGCTATGTTGAAGTAGAACATGGTAGATGTCGAGGTAGTAGACGCGTTGTACTGGCCAGAGTGGGACGATATATACTTCGTATAAGCGTTTTCCTCGGGATACTTCTTTGTGCCCATCAACAAGACCTTTGTGGGGAGGGATTAGCATGGCGCTCGTCTCGATGGGTTGATGAACGGACATGGAAAGCATTCTCACATGTTCAACGGCGTGTGCCAGACCAGGCATGTCTACCTTGTCGCTGAAATTTCCAACATTAACATTTATGGCAGCGCTGGCCTTATCGGCATCGCCATCGTGAATCAGGAGGGCCTCAAGCTGGTTGGGAAGGCGGATCACGTGATAGGACCGATCATCCAGGGAAGAGGTCTCAAGCTGATCCGTTACTAGCTCCTCAGGGGGGAACTCATGCTCCGGGAACTTCATGTTGCCACTAGCCCGTCTACAATCTGGAGAAGAGCGAGCTGACAACTATTTTTATTGAAAAGGCCCGTAAGGCGGAGTTGTCAAAGGATATCACAGTCCGTTCGGTAGATGAATCCCTGGCTTGTCAGGAAGTAAGGCTGCGTAAGTGCGAGCGCGACCTCACAATCTAGTTATATAGACTGCAGAGGGAGAATGGTGTGTGCCAACAGCAAGAAAATGCAAAATTTTGTGCACCAATACGGTTTCGACAATGCTGCCGCTCTGTTTGGGATCATGTCATGAGTAGCGGTGAAGTGTCGGCCTGAACCATACCACAGAAGGAGCAAGGAGCAAGAATAATGCGATATTCAAAGTCATGGGTTGAAGGCACGCCCTACAAGACAGAATGCAACCCCTGCTTAGCTATGGGGGCGTAATTCTAGGGTGGGATTCATGTCTGTGCTAGCCTGGAACCAGGCGCTGAAGACTGTGTCGCACTCTTTTACTCACTTCCTGGTGAAATGTCGCGTATCATCAAAGAGCTGGTCAGGGTGTCGTGTCGATCGACAAACCAAAGTTGGAGCTTGCGAATATTCGCAAACGCCTTCGGATACACGTGCATTAGTTTTCCCTTAAGCTTTGCAGCCTCCGCAAAAGTTCCCATGGAGTCCTGTGTCCCCTGATCATCCAGGGTCATTTGGTGCACAACAGCCTCGCCCAGTCTGCAAAACGTCACTGCCTCCTTGATTGTGCCACTGCAGTGTTTCGTCCCAGACACAGCGAACGATGTAGCGTATCGTAGAGCACAAAATTGAACCTCGCATTAGCGTACATATTCATGCTTGTGGAGGTGCGTAGGTGCCCTTTGACCGATGCCGTGCATTAGCGGCCAGAGCGTCAAGGGAACGGCTCGCAGTCCGGCTTGAGCTGTCCAACCGAAGTGCGTGGACATGCATGTTCTACTCCGTTCCGGCAATCGAGATAAAGACGCGAAAAAAGTTCAGTATAGTTGTTTGTCACAAGCTTGCCATCGCCTATACTGGCTGGCGATGGGAGACTAAATGATGGCCTTGCATTTATTGCAAATGCTGTTCCTGTATATTATTCCTCTATCGATGGCTGTCGTGACGCGCGTTGCCTCGAACAACCAGCGTTACCCCAGCGACAAAATCTACGTGGCCATTCACACCACCTCCTGCAGACGGTTACATCTCCCCAGGCGGCTTCGCCAGCATTGAACATAATTAGTATATCGAGATGATGGTACATAACAGCCATGAGCCCATGTGGTATCATCCCCTTGGAGTGGGATTATCCGCCCTGGGGTGGACTTACCATACCAGCCAACGCGTAGTAGCCCGCCATCCATCCTCGACCCCAAATCCCTGAATCCGATGTCGTCGCCCGTGTTGTTGTCACTGTAAATAGTTCGCGGACCAGGCGAATTACTGTTCCAAGGCAAGGCCTCCAGACATGGGTACTATACACAGATCAGATTCGAAATGAGGGTCACAAGTGATCCGTGCACTCACAGATTCGGTCTTGTCAAGGTCGGCATGCTACCTCAGCCAGGCGTCAAGATT